TTAAGCATGTTGTCCATTGTATATAAAATTACATAACATAACTGGAATCATTTGGATTAGATGAAGTCATTGGAACTAAGGGTATATACATTTCTTTTTTTGTATAAAATATCAGGTCAGAAATATTGGAGTAAAGATCACGATGTGAGAAATAATTTTCAAGGAAAATGTGGTTCAGTGAAACATGACAATCATATATTTCTAAGTTATCTAGGAGGTACATTTTGTGAAAAATACAAATGAATCAAGACTCAGAATGACATAGAAGACAAAATGTTTATAGGAATCCCATGCTGAGAAACATCACAAAAAGGATGATAATTTTTTTTTTTTTGCCACATAGCATGCTGGAATGAGAACATAGAGCTGGAGTGATGGATTTTGGATCAGGAAACTGATCACCACAGATCACAATCGTGCTTTCAGACACAATCATGCTTTCAAACCCAGAGAACGTCTACCCTCCATAGAATAAGAGACAGAAGTAACTATAGCCATAGCCACTATCGCCTCTGAGGCCAAACCTTAATCCATCACCATATCTCAGCTCACCACTGAAGCCATCAAGGGTGTAGCCAAGGAGACTAAAAGAGTTGCTGCAGTTGTGGTTCATTATGTGTGGGTTGAGCATAGGTTTGATGCCCAGGTGAGTTTCTTGGGATGAAGTCTCCAAAGACATAAATTTCTGATCACTTAACAGGTTCACTGTCATTGTGCCTGAGCTTTTACACTTAGCCTGTGAAGGTGTGGAAAACCACATGTCTCTATGATCTCTCTCAAAGTGCTACTTTAAAGAAAAGTAATTATATACATTACTAATGTAGGATGGCTCTAAGAGGCAGGAAGACATCACTCCTTTGAGGTTAGTTTAATTTTCATGCTCAAAGAGATGCCTTTTCATTGAATGTACAAACCATCAGTAGCTACTGATTGTTTAAAGTTCATTATGATTTTTTGGCTTCATAAATTTTCCTTGCACGTATTTTCTAATCTTACACTTAGAAATCAAGTTCTCTTATTTGAAATAGACTTTATATTTTGTTCATGGTCAATCATGTCTTTATCTTTCCTTTAAAAGTATTTACCTCATAATGATACATTCTTCTGTCTAGAACTTAACTAGTAAAATATTTTAAACCACTTTATATGACTGAAATTCATTTGAGACCATTTTGTGGTGAGAGAGAAATGCCAGTCCCTTCTAAACAACACAAGCCCTGTCATTCTCTTTGCTTATCTACCAGAACTACTTGATAAGACTCTACTGCTAGACACAGCACATGTTTCTTGTGGTGGTTGTTATTGTTAGTTTTGGTTTGCTTGTTTGTTTGGGTTTTTTTTGTTTGTTTGCAAGAAACAGAGAAATTAAGTTCGAACTAGACTAGGTGTTCTTCTCTGATCTGTAGCATTCATAATGCCAGAAGTTGTTATACAGTTTAGGATTACATAACTTGCCAATTAGGATCCTTTTCTTCTCTTCCAGTTTATATATCTGTTATTTCATTCTAATGCCACCTTTGCTAGCACAGACTTCAAATACTGTTAAGTATGTATAACTAGTTTAGAGAAATATACTTCTTCACATGAAAAACTATTGCCAAAAATAGTCAGATGATGAAATCTCCAAAGACATGAATTGATGGTCACTTAATGGATTCATCACATGGCAACATTGTTGGGAGGTAATGGAAGGTACTGAGTAGAACTTACCTACAGGAGCTACGTGGGCAAGAGGTTCCCCAGGGCTCATATGTTGCTTTCTCCTTTACTTCTATTGCCTTTTCTCTGTATGTAGTATACCATAAAATTGTTCCCCTAACTCCTAGTTTGCCAATATTCTATTCCAAATGGGCCCAGAAACACAGAAGCAAGAGACTATGGAATGAATTTTTTGAAATTGTGAGCTAAATTAAAGGCTTCCTGTTTAAGTTGTTTCCACAGAATTTGTTCTAATAAGAGAATGCAATTAAAATAGATACATTTACTCTCAATTGAAGAACAATAATTAGCTATGCAAAGGAGAAACAGAATTGATTTTGGTAGCTGTAATTAATATTTAAGCAGAAACAACATCAAAATACAGTTACAGGAAACCATAGAAGCAGTGTGTGCACAAGGTGTATTCATTTGACAATCACTGGAATGATGTAGAGACAAATTGTTTGAAATGAAACTCATTAAACTTACACTCACATGCATTAAAAATTCTTATTTTTTATGGAAATAGTAGCAGTAACATTTTCTGGTCATTAGCCCTGGAAATGTAACTCAGCTTACATTCCCCAAGACACATCACTCAGATTATCTGCTTGCATGAGATTTCAAGATAATGTCTTTCCTAGATAGTCATCTTTCTCTCTTCTCTGTGCCATGCTTGGGCATGGTATTTCACTAAGGAATCCTTTGTCATGTGTCAGAGTTTTTGCAGCAGTTTTCACTTGGCTTTCAATAATTTTCTTTGAAACACTTTTAAAAGCTAGGTGCCTTGAGGAGGAGTAGCAGGGTGGTGGTACAGCAACAGCAAGTTTAGATCCAGAACAATATACAATTAGATACAAAGAGCTCAATGGGGAGCAGGTCAATGGGTAAAATACAGTTTATTATTATTTGCTATACAGTTGACTTTATTTTATGATATATTTTAAAGCGGAAGTGCCTCATCACAACAAGACAATTGATGATAGAGATGGGGAAAAACTAATCACCTTAATTTGATCATCACACACTGTATCCATGCATTTAATAATATGTATGTTTTTTTAATATATATGTCCTAATTATGTGTAGTTATCATATAAATTTAGAAACAAAAAATACTTAGAATGTTTTAAGAGACTATCTCATTGAAAAATTATGGGAATTTTTAAGTAAAATCTAAATTGCCCCAATACTAAATATACGCACATGTTAAAGGCGTGTGTGTCTATGTGCATGTGTGTGTATGTATGTGTGTAAAGTACGATGATCCAAAATGGACCCTAAACTTCAATAGCTTCTTTATTCAAAGAATAATAATTTGTTCTTCCCATAAGAGTGTACTGATATTCTTTTTTGCTATGCTCTTTCTAATTCATTTAAATACTTAATCTTAATTTTGCTATATTTTGTGAAGGACAAACCTGTTCTCAACATTTCCCAGTTGCTTCCTTGAAACAATCACATTGGTAGTTTTCTCTAAAATTCTATTTGATTAAAAACTTGTAAACAAATACTTGCTGTACTATGGCATGAGATCCCCATAAATCCTTGATAGTAAGGAAATGCCAAGTCAATGTCAAACATCTTTCAAAAGTTGGTGTGCTTTTATTTTTTTTGTTTTTTGTTTTCTGAGACAGGGTTTCTCTGTATAGCCCTGGCTGTCCTCGAACTCACTCTGTAGACCAGGCTGGCCTCGAACTCAGAAATCTGCCTGCCTCTGCCTCCCAAGTGCTGGGATTAAAGGCAGGCGCCACCACCGCCCGGCTGGTGTGCTTTTCAATACATTATTTTCTGAAAATATCTACTTTTAAAATATCCAAGCCAGGTTAAATTCATTCTTATATGAATAATTGTTACGAAACATGAGGAAAGGCCTATGTATCAGGGGAACATGACTGTCATCACCGAGCTCAGTCCTCATTCATTGTGTCATATAAGTTGTCACAATATATTTATTCATGAATCTATTACTAGAGTTCTTTCTACAGTTTCCTGAAATCAGTAGAATCTCACATTCCTCATGTAATACCGTAAAATTTATAATTAAAATCACACTATGAGCCAGATACAATGGAACACAACTGCAACCATAATATCAGAGTGATAAAGTTAGAGTGGTCATGAGATATGTCTAACATCAACGACATTAAAAGCTGGGACTAGCCTAATCTACATCATATCCTCTCTCAATACAAAAATAAATTAAGTAAATGAATAGGTAATTAAATATAGTAGCATATACTATTTGTGAACAGTGAGAACATTACACAAAGAAGCTGTACTTTTGTAACCAGTCTAAGTTTGGAAGGAACTATCCAAAGAAGTCTGCAATCCATTTCAAGATTAAAATGAGGAACAAAGTGCAATATTACATTTATTCTTTTAAAAAAGTACAGAAATCTTGATTGAAAAACATCAATTCTCAGTATTTTTAGTTTATGGGGGAAGAAATGTGCCTGAAGAGAAAAATGGCAGCTGTTTAAATAACGATGGGTAAGAAATACTGAACATAAGCAAAGATTGTGGCCAATTCCCAACTCATCTAAAAATAGGGTCATGTAGTGTGCCCAGGAGGGACCAGGAGCTGACATCAATCATCGAGAGCCCTGCCATTGTTTCATATGGATACTCAACACACTGGAACAATAACCAATAAAGTACTCTGTCTTGTGAAACTCATAAAATAACCCTGCGTAGGCTCAAATATACAGCAATGTAACGTATTCCCATGAACCAGCATCATGACATATGTTCCCTTTAATTGTTAATTAGACAAAGTATTAAAATGCTTGTATGAATTAAGAATGCCTACAAATATCAAGATGTCTTGGATTTAAGCCTAAAGCACACATGAAAACATATTTTGTGAAATGGAGTCACTAGCTGAAATCATATTAGCTGTTTTGAAATGTATTTCATGGCTAGCAACATTACATTTTTATAAGGTAAAATGTCAGGTTTCAATTAATATATACAATGGGTAATGGTCAAGTCAGGACAAATACTATTTTCACCTTAAAGTTTTATATTCCTCTTGTACTGAAATATATATTTATTTTGGAAAATATATCACATTGAAACATATCACTCAGATATGTCAAAATTATGTGTGAGATTGTGTTTAGATGCATAAACATAAGTAAAACAAGGTTTTGAATGTTTACAAACATATGTATTAAAATAACATGTCTAGGAATAACTCAGAAAATATAAATATTCCTGCCTACAGCCTAGCAGGGTGAGCCGAGTCAAATTTAGTGATGGATTCTGGAAGAAACAGTCCTTCACAGATGACCATGTTTTCAGTAAATGCCAGAAGAAAAGTATCTGCCATAGAAAGAGGGATGGAAGCAGCCATAACCACCATAGCCTACAAGGCCATAGCTGGAATCATGACCATAGCCCAGACCACTGAAGCCGCCAAGGCCACAGCCAAGGCCACCATAGAAGTTGCCATAATAGTAGCTCATTGTGTCTGAGATTTGAGACTTGGTGTGATGTTGAAGGTGAGGTTCCAGAGAATAGAAGTGACCTTCTGCTACCAGGTTTTATAGTGTACCAGTGTAGGTGTGTCATACCACAACAAAGTATCATTCTCTTAGAAAATATATCTTTGGATAATCACAGTATGATTTTATCATGCTTTTCTTATTAATATTATTAATATTTCTAAAGATACATAGAGTGTTTCATTTTGTGCTTAAATATTTTAAATTTTCATTGTACTTTGATCATAATTCAAATTTCACATATCTCTATAATTACAATGAAATTTTCAATCCTTTGAAATTGTTTTAGAATGTAAGTAAAATAGATATGTTTGGGTATGTGGATATTTCAGCATCCATGATATTTTCTGATGTGGCAAAAATATTTTAAAGTTTATGCCTCATTAAATATCATATTTTTGTTTTCTAAATCTCATAGGTAAATTACATTAATGCAAGAAAACATAGTCAGAATTTCCTGACAAAATAGAGGAAATAATTTTCTCTATCTTAATTTGTGTGTGTGTGTGTCTGTCTGTCTGTCTGTCTGTATTTGGTTTAGCTGTTAAGGGCACTTGTTGCTTTTCCAGAGGTCTTGGGTTCAATTCTCAGAACCCACATGGTGTCTCACCATGGTGGGTCTCACCATGGTGAGACTGTTTGTAACTACAGTCTCAGGGGATATGAACCCTCATCTGGCCTTCATGAACACCAGGGACATACATGGTACATGAACATACTTACAAATACACACATAAGGTAACAAAACACTTAAACACATAAAATAATAAAATAAGTGATTCTAAAATATTGTAAAGGTGAGAAACCATTACTGTTCCTTCTTGCCTATGGGTAATTCGGTAGCCTACTAGGTGTCTCCATTTTTAGATCTGAAATTCAAGTTTTATCACAACATAACAAACACCTAAAGTTTTCTTTTCAAATAACACATTATGTAAAATATCCACTTTCTCTAGAAAATACTTCCAACTTGTCCCGAGGAACATCAGTTGATTTTGTCACTGTAAACCTTCAGCTCACATTTTACTCTCCCTGATTAATCCCATTACTCTCTATGTTATAACTCTCTTCAGGTATTTCATTCTCTGACCTTCCTCATCTCTTTCCTGAGTACTCATTTATCACTATGAGAATTAAGTTTTCAAGCCTCCAAAGTATTACTTACAAATCCTTTGGGTTGGAAGGTTTCATCTTCATAATCCTACAGATTAATATAATACCCAATAAAACTAGACAAAGTGGGTTGTCTGTTACTGCTGTTGAGCCTCTGTTCCCTGAACATGTGAAACCTGGGATAATATTTTTTAAAAAAAGATAATGTGATTACATGAGGGAATGTCAGATTTCACATTTGAAGAAGGGAAAGATGAAAAAAGCCTGACATTCAAAATGGGGCACCTCATTTAATTGAATCAGGACTATAGAAATGTATTTGTATGGGAATTTGGACTGGGAAAAGGGCCATAGCAATAACATTCAGGTGTTAATTGCTAACACCTGAGTAAGGTGAGCCCAGTCTAATGCTGCGTATAAAAATCTGTGAGTCTCTATGAACTGTGCTTGAGCATATGGAAGTGAACATGTGTTTCTTCATGACAGTTTATGAAAACAAAATAAGGGCTATCTGTACAGATTTTAGAGTTAGAGGAGCAAACTATTCTGATGGGGCTTGAATATTGCCACAAAATAAAGGTGCAGATGTAAATATACTATTATTAGTATAAATTTAGTAAGTTGAGAAAAAAGGTCATCTAGATTATACCATGGATCTAGCCATCATTTGGTGTAGTCCTGGCACATAATTTAAGAGTAACTGCTCTGGGTAAACATACGAGGTTACACTCAGTGAAGTGTATAGACCTCAACCCCACTGTAGCTTCACACCAGGACATTGATATGGAAAATATTAAAGAAAACTTACTATTTGAGAAATATTAACTCTAATAAAAATTTCCAAAAGCAAGGAAAACATCACACAGGAGGTTTTTTTTTTAAGTTCTAGAATATTGCAGCAAAATTAGAAAAAAACTAGAAAGTATAAATAAAGAACAGGATAAACAACTACCACATAAACACCAGCACATAGAGGTATATTCTATCACTCAAGTCCTTTCTTTAATATATGCATGAAAAGTTTCTCACAAACTTCAGTTTTTGTTTTTGTTTTGTTTGTGTGTGGGAGGGGAGCTAGCAGAATTTATATTTTAATTGGGTATTTTATTTATTTACATTTCAAATGTTATCCCTTTACCTGTTTTCCCCTCCAGAAACCCCCTATTCCATCTTCCCTCCCCCTGCTTCTATGAGAGTATTCTCCCACCAACCCACCTACCTACCCACTCCTGCCTTCCTGCCCAGGCATTTCCCTACACTAGGGCATCAAGCCTTCATAGGAGCAAAGGTGTCTCTTCCTGTTGATGCCGAACAAGGCTGTCCTCTACTACATATGCTGCTGGAGCTATGGATCCCTCCATGTGTCCTCTTTGGTCGTGGTTTAGTACCTGGGAGCTCTGGGGAGTCTGGTTAGTTGATATTGTTGTTCTTATGGGTTGCAAACCCCTTCAGCTCCTTCAGCCTTTTCTCTAATTCCTCCGTTGGGGACCCTGTGCTCAGTCCAATGGTTGGCTGCAAGCATCCACCTTTGTATTTGTTAGTCTCTGGCAGAGCCTCTCAGGAGACAGCTGTCTCAGGCTCCTGTCAGCATGCACTTCTTGGCATCCACAATAGTGTCTGGGTTTGGTGTCTGTATATCAGATGGATCCCCAGGTGGGGCAGTCTCTGGATGGCCTTTCCTTCAGTCTCTGCTCCACACTTTGTCTGCATATTTTCTCCCTTTGAGCATTTTTTTCCCCTTCTAAGAAGGAGTGAAGCTTCCACACTTTAGTCTTCCTTCTTCTTGAGCTTCATGTGGTCTGTGAATTTTATCTTGGGCATTCCGAGCTTTTGGGCGAATATCCACTTATCAGTGAGTGCATACCATGTGTGTTCTGTGACTGGGTTACATCACTCAGGATGATATTTTCTAATTTCATCCATCTGCCTAAGAATTTAATGAATTCATTGTTTTTAATAGCTGAGTAGTACTCCATTTTAATTTAACATCATCTAGAAAAATACACAATTAAAAATATACGTGTTTTAGTCAACTGCTGGATGGAGCCTCTCTGAGGACCGTTATACTAGCATAACTGTCTGCAAGCATAATAGAGAATCATTAATAGTGGAGGAGTCTTGTGAAAGAGTTGAGGGATGGAATTGAAGGATCCAGAAGGAATAGGAACTCTACAAGCAGACCAGCAGACCCTGAATCTGGACCCCTGGGGGCTCCCAGAGACTGAACCAACAACTAAATTGCATACATAGGCAAGACCTGGGTCCCTGAAAATATGTAGCAGATATGCAGCTTGGTCTTAATGTGGGTGCCCCAACAGGAGCGGGGGCTGGTCCTGATTCTCTTACTTACTTATGGATTCTGTTCCTCTGAGTCTCCTTGTCTGGTCTCAGTGGGAGAGGATGTGCTTAGTCCTATAGTGACCTGATGTGACAGGGTGGTTTCGTATCTCTACCGTCTCAGAAGAGAAGGGGTCTCAAGTCCCTCAAGTCAAGGACTAAGCAGATCTTCTCCCACTGAGGCCAGACCAAAAAGATCTCTGCTCTACATGTTCCAGGGACCTCAGACAGGCCCCTGTATGCTCCTGGTTGGTGGTTTAGTGTTTGGGAGCTTCCTGCGGTCTGGATTAGTTGAGAATGATGGTCTTCCTATGGGTCACTCTCACTTTCAACTTCTTCAATCCTGTTTCTATTTCAACCATAGGGGTTGAGTTTGCTGAATAAAAACAGTTCCTGGGTTACTAATACCAAGACAAACACCAAGACCTTATATTTTCATCAATAATTAAAGAAAGCTCCAGAAACCTGGGATGTGAGAGACTCCTAGGACTCAAGTGGGGGTGACCTTAGCCAAATTACAGTGAGGAGAGTGAAATGGTAGAGTTCACCTCCAGTAGATAGACAGGGTCCCAAGTGAAGGGACAGTAATACCTACTCATAGTCAAAATTTCTGTGCCCAGTCCTGTAGTGACCTGATGCACACTCAGAATTGTTCCGATGTAATAGACATGCAGGGACAAAAATGAAGAAGAGACTAAAGGAAAGGTGGTCTAGTGACTGATCCAACTTGAGATACATCTCATGGTTGGGGGGAGCACCAAAATTTAACACTGTTACTGATGCTATGCTGTGCTGACAGACTGGAGTCTGGCATGGTTGTCCTCTGAGAAGTTCTACCAGTAGCTTATTGAGACAGACACAGATACTTACACCCAACCATTGGACTCAAGTCAGGGACCCTTCTGGTTGAATTAGGGGAAGGAATGAAGAATCTGAAAGGGAGAGCAGCCCCATAGGAAGACCAGCAGTCTCAACTAACCCAGACCCCAAGGATTTTAGTTACTCACAGATCCCAGACATTGAGCTGAGCCACCAATGAGGAACATAAAGGGACCTGGCACATTTAAAACAGAGAACTGCCTGGTCTGGACTCAGTGGGAAAAGATCTGCTAATCCTCCAGAGACTTGAGGACCCAGGGAAAGGGGGGGATTGGAGGGGGGCACCCTATAGGAGTCAAGGGGGAGGAGGAATGAGATGAGGAACTGTGAAGGGGGGGCGAGAAGGAGGACAACGACTGGAATGTAAATACATAATTTAATTTGAAAAAATAAAAAACAATTCTTGGTTGACGAAGCTGTGTTGACAGGAGTCAGTGTGTCTCTTCTCTATAAAACTTCCAATTTAAATTATATCATAACAAAAATATGCCATAGCAGCCTTTTTGTCTCTAAGGATGAAATTCATGTTTGAAGCTTAACTGTGGAAATCATTTGGTAGTAATTAAAGATGAAATGCATGAAACTCATTGAGATGCAGCAGGTATAATATGGGTAAGTATATTTGTGTGAGC